TGTGTGGTGGGTAGTTGTGTCCTCTGGAGTTAAAGATGTGCTTTTGGCCAATATTACCGGTTAAATGGTTTTTCGGTCACAGACTTGATAATGCTTGTACAGTCCGCGCCACTGCAACTGTGAACCACACAGCCAACTACAGAAGCAACCCGGAGCACCCTGAAGAAGGCGCGTAAGATATGAACCGAAACGTCGGTACTGGCCAATCACCCGATTGACCAACGCATTTGTTTGCGTTTTGTATAAATAAACCGTTTTATACAATTTTCAGTTTTCAGTATAAACATTGCAAATTACTCACTCTGCTGACATCTACTTGTTGCTCTCATTTTGTACAGAAAGACGACAGAAAAATTTTAAATATCGCCTTTTAACGGGTACAAGGCATACGGTGGAACAGATATGATATCGCAATAGTAAGCAAAATCTGATCTTTATATTAAGCTGTGACTATTGCCAGTCGTCTGATGGGGATTACATGCAGACACAGCTAGGAGAATCTTGCACAACACCCTTAATTTGCATCATTTAGACATGCATCGCTTTTCGAGAGAGTTCAATCCGTTAATGGCAACTAGCGATACCACTTTTGAACAGGTTTGCCCGCATAGAAATTCTGCTGCTTTGACTTCTTTTAAACTGATATCAGGTGAAACTTTTCATCAAAGTCCTCAAAGTAGTATTGCATGACTATTGTTCAGTTCGAATTATGCGGAAACTAAACGGCGCCATTTGCTTAGGCAGGATTCTTGAACTTCATGACCTAAGTCAGCGTTCCTACGCTGTGTTCTGCAGTGAGCAGTTTCCATAAACTGATACTCAAAACCCCATCCCAGGATCGGCATAGTAATTACATGCAATATTTATATCTAGGCGCTGTTGCTGTTTCCGCCTACTAGTGACTGTCAGAGGAAGCGTCTTCCATAGGTTAGGTCCCTTGCAGATGTAAATAATATATTTAGTAAAATCTTTTCTACTGCTACATATAAGCTGTCTATGAAAGGACTGTAGTAAGCTTTTGCAAAGGGGTTTTTATTTCGATGTACAAGGTTAGCGGCCGACATGCAGCTGTTTTTTTCATGCACTGCACGTTTTGTTTTCAGAAAAAATGTGACGCGTCAGTGGAACTAATGGAAGAACGACTTTCGGGTGATCACGCGAGGGCTATGTTTGGTAAAGTTTCGGCATCCTCAGCAGATGCTTGCGTTGCGAAAGTACCTGTACAGGATGTTCAGCAGGTCGATTCATTCTACGCGCCCGAACAGCAGAACGTGTTCCCAATGGCGCATGAAAGCGTATGCATTTTTACATTACTAGACGCTGTATGCATGAACCTTAGTCAACCATAACTTCCTACGTCCTGCTTCTACTACCTCAACGCGGTAGGATTCTCAAGGCGAGATACTGCTTAGCATTAAGCTCTGGCAGGTTCAACCATACAGTTAAAGCTTCAGAAATACACCTGGCCATGTGGAATAGGGAACACTTACCAACCCGCCTAGCCAGATTCTAACTAAAGGTGACATCACAACTGAAACGATGGTTCTCATTCCCCGGAGGCTAGATTGTGGCCGGCGAAGGCAGCATCTGGTCATTCATGAAGGCAGAGGGTGCTAAGAATACCGAGTTACGGATCAGAGCTGCTTTGATTTACTAACTCTGGCAGCGTGCAACTGCATATCACTTCTAGATAAATCAAAGCTTCAAAACATGCAAAATTTAGTAAAATTGAGTGGGACTTAGCGAAGTAAGAAGGTAAGATGAGGGGCCGTTAGAGCTTGCAATTGTGCACCTTCTGTTGTAAAAAGGATCAGCAAATTCAAGTACAGGGAGAGTGAGGTTCATTTTCTATACAGTATCAAACAACAATGTAGTGGAAGTGAATAACACTTCAGAATGGTGTGCAAAAATGGTTCTGAGGGTTTTAAACAGGTGCGAACTCCAAACAATCGATATCAAGCCATGCTGATGAGGAAGTTTGAAATTTATACGAAGAAGTAGAAGTGCGTGAAAATAGAAATAGGCACTACAAGTTGATCATTAGTGATTTCAACGCCACAGTAAGACCGTAGCAAGGTAACGAATGTCCTATGGACCGACTTGCTTACTGCAAAAAGAATAACTGGGGTGAACGACTAGTGGAGTTTTCCGAAATGAACATGCTATTTACTATGAACACCTTTCTTCAAAAAATTCAAGAAAAAGATGCAGTGGAATGGCTCTAACGACGTCAAGAATGTAGTCGGTTTCATTTTCAGGATAATGAAGACTACAGTGCAAGACGTCGTGGTGCTCAACAGGTATAAGCAGGGAGCGACCACCTGCTCGTAGTTGTAAAGTCAGCTTTAGAAAGAAATAAACTGATGAGGAAGAGAAGCAGATACTCCATGTGGAAACACCAAAGAACCTCCCGCTGTTTCAGCTCAGATCAAATAACAAATTTGGCGTGCTTTACGGGACGCAAGAAATAGAAACAGCAGACGCAGTGCATATTAACGCACTGCGTCAGGATATAACGAAGGACGTGGCATAAGTAATGGAAAGCATATCCGGAATAAACATGATGACGGTTGACCAAAAAATCACGAAGCAACCGAGAAACTCATTAAGAAGCGAAGACAAATTAAGACAGTAACAGATATGAAATCAAAGATCGAATACGTGGAACTTTGCACAACTTTCAGGAAACACGTAAAAGAAGGCGTCTTGAACATTCACCGCGGATTGGTAAACAAAACTACTGCAAAAACCGAGGCATAAAGAAATGAAACCAATGATTGACGGTAGGAAAACGACAAATTCAAGTTCTCAAAGCAGAAGGTGGGTCAATCATCACCGACAGACAAGAGATTCTAAAGATAGTGTAATATTTATCGAGAAAACTGTACATAGATGAAAACAGCAACAGCCCTAGTGAGGATAAGAAACCTGAGAATATAAATGAAGTTGACGAAACTCAAGATGTATTGCCAAAAGTAGCACGACATGCAATAAAACAGTCAAAGTGATGAAGGGCTCGTGCGAAGACGGCATTACAATGAAACTCGTGGAATCAGGAGGTGAAACATTGACAAAGGCATTATTTAACGCGCTTGTTTTCACGCTCTCTGAAGGAAATGAAATTTCTACACGATTTGACTACCGCATGGGTGATTCTACTCCACAAAAATGGAGGCAGAAAGGATTTGAAGAATTCCAAGCCTCTAAGTTTGTTTCCAATCGTTTGCAAAATTTTCACAAAGGTGCTGACGTTCAGACTTAGAGGAAAACTTGGACGCTGCACAGCTAAAAAGGTTGTGGGATTCAGAAGTGCATTTAGTACGACGGATCATCTCGAGGTGATACAACAAGTAATTGAGACAAGCAACGAGTGTCAGCGTCGCTGCATGAAGTTAGTCGATTTCGAGAAGGCCTTCAGCGCACTGTACGTTCTTCCTGTACTTGATTCCTCAAGGAGCCAGGGAATCGAGAAAGCATACATAAACTTGATCGCCATGATCTACAGGAATACAGCTACCGGTTTGAAGCTTTTTGAAAGCAGGAGCAAGTTCAAAATAGGGGAGGGGGTTTGATTAAGTGATTCAATATCACCGAATTTATTCACAGCAGCTCTGGAAAAGATTTCCAAGACAGTGTGTTGGAAAGATCAGGAACTGAATGTAAATGGGCTACTGTTTAAGCCACCTGCGGTTTACGGACATTTGATTTTCTCAAGGGCATCAGAAGAACTCCAAAAAAGAATCCTGTAGCTGAACGACGCTAGCGTGGAAGTTTGAAAGAAATGCAAAACTACGTCTTAGTTGGGCAGCTCATCGAGTAAGTGAAATATACAGAAAATTACAAGTAGTACGTAGCACTTTCCGAAGGTTAAAGATGTTTATATCCGGCAATCTGCCTTTGTGCTTGAAATGAAAAGTATTCGATCAGTATATGGCCACAGTGCTAAACGTTTTTGTGCGAAACGTTTTCCTTAAGCTCAAATGCTGATGATAGTGATGTGCATGAACCGTCAGAGCTTTTACTCAGCATCAAATCTAAGTTTTCGGGAAGCGGTTCTTCAGCCCTTTCATCACCGTAGACATTCTTGTTATCATGGCGTTTTTGACAGACGTTCAAAGAAAACCAAAGCTTAGAAAACTGCAGTAATACAGTAGCACGCCGTATTCTCTGGTTAACCTGTTCAGTTTCGACACTAGAATAATTCAGGTTATGGACAGACTGGGATAATAGAAGTTTGCCAGTTTTTTGTTTCGTATCTTCAAGTAAAGACGGATTTTATCAAATCCAGCAAATTCTGGCCTACTGAGTATTTTTTTGTGCTAGAGGGCACTTCATCTATGTGTGTCTTACGTCAAGCAGTGATTTATTATTGGAATTGCCACTGTTGTTGTATGGTCGAACGCAAGGATCCTTTTTTTAAGGAAATAGATGATAAATCTGGACTTATCTAAAGTTATGTTTACCACGGATGGCAGTGGCAATTATTTACTCACCACCTTCTCTTTAACCATCAGTTTCTTACTGTAGTATTGATCACGTTTCCGCTCACTTGGCCGATTACTGAACAAATACAGCGAACAGTGCTCGGATCGATATATTGTTTAAGACATGTGAGATATTTCGGTCTTAGTTAACGACGAAGACATTGTTGTCGAAAACATCTCAGGGAAAGCATCGGCAATGAAGCCGTAGCTGTAAAAACCGAGTTGTTTTTAAGTTTTAACCAGGTGTGCTATCAGTTTTAATAACAGTTGATACGTTTATCCGTCTCGCATTGTCGAGAGTATGACTACAACGTAAGCAAACTGTGACCCCTTGGATGGCGTTTTACCGTTACAGGCAACTTTAACAGTACATTCACTATTTATGGAATATTCGGTCGGTAACAGAAAAGAATAAGTGCGTTCGTAGTGGTTACATGTGACGAATAATACTTTAATGGGAATTAAAGAATTTGATTTTTTAATTATTGTGATCGATTCACAAAGTATTATTGTTTTTGATCCAACGGATAAAACCACGTTCGATACTTACTTTGGGTATATTTTCGTTACTGAATTTTGTATGATTAATATGCATGTGAGCAGTATCGTGAATTAATTTTTTAGTTGAACTGGCGAACATTGTCCAGTGTTTCATTATTTAAGACACCAGACGATGATACGATCATTGGTATCTACACAAAAACAGCATTCTTAGAATTGTTAGAAATATTAATCTCGTGCACTGGTTCATTAAATTAAACTGCAAGATTTTCTTCCAGCGTTGATTAGCCAGGGTTCGTTGGCGGTTGAATACTGATTTCTAAATTTGCCTAGCGTTAGGTAGATTTGACTGGTAAATCTGCGCTGAGCCAAAACAATATCTATAAATTCACCAGCTCTATCGAGATGGAGTGTTTACTAATCGTACTTTAGATACACGACGACTAATGTAAACTAAAAAAAGGTGTAAATCAAAATCGCTTTGGCGTGGATGTAACGAACTCCAATACCACTTTAAGGCAGCAGCATCGACAGTAAAAATTATTTAGTCAAAATCAATGGCGGGTCATGGCTAATAATAGCAAAATATTTTAATTATTGCCTGCATGAATTTCAGTCACATCGAAACGTCAGTAATTCACGTTAAAGGTGGCGTATTGAATAACTGCGAGGCAAGGCATGGCGTACAAAATAGCTTATTGACCGTGCAGCCTTTAACCGTCAAGCGAAAAATAGAATATCTTCAAATTGTCTTAATGACGAAAGTGTGTCGAAACCTTTTTAGGCGTGTATAAATCAAACCAATAAACGTAGGCGTGATCGGTGCAGGTTTTTGTGGCATCTGTCAAAGTTAGTTCTGTTTGCAGCGAGCAATCTGAAGTATATTTCACTAGATTTGATTGATCTTAAAAATTTGTATTATTTGTTATCTAATTTTATTCAGGAAAGTGTTGGTTTCAATAATTTATTTCGTAAATGACAGAAAAGTGTTTGACTTGTCTTTGCAGGTATACCATCAAAAGAACAAAGAATTTATAAGTAAAAAAGGCAAATAATTGTAGAGTGGCAGATTTATGCAAATTTGTGAAGGTTGTGTTACTTTGTGAAATGTTGCCTAGTGGTGGCATTCTTACCGACGTTCCAACTCAATAATTCTGTGATAGTAAGATAACTAAAAATAAATTTCTTTGTTTAGTTAAGTGAAGATCCAATAGTTCGCGAAGAACGATGGAGAAAGAAATGGTTTGACATGCGGCAAAAGCGACTACCATCACGTGGCGTAGCCTTAGGATGACATAGACATGCTTTGTACGTGTGGATCAAATTTGTACCGTATCCGCTGTAACGCCTAAATGTTGCAAAAC